CCCTACAGAATATTCTATGGGTTCCACATAGCATTTCTTCTCAGTGTGCCCAGAACATAGCCAAGGCCCCCAGATGAAATCACTAGGTGCCGGTGGTGTTGTTTACATAGAAATCTGTCTTGTCCTGTTACAGGACCGTCGGATAGAGGAGCTTACTGGGCTGTTAAACCAGTACCGAAGGGTGAAGGAGATCGTGATGGCAACTCAAGGTAAGAGCAAAGTGGGAGCTTGCCGTTTTCTCCCCCACATATTCCATCTCTACTGTGTTAAATCCAGGGGCAGACCTGCCAGGAGGGTCCTCATCTTCATTTGGAAAAATGCTCTGCTGGAGAATAGAGCTGGTTAGACTGCCCTGGGTGGGGGGAAACTGGCAGCTGTTGCTTGCCATAAGTTGTGTCAAATGGCAGTCAGTTCAGAATTTCCAGGAACTATCCAGATCGCCAAGGAAAGACAGCCTTCAATTCGAGCCATTGGCAATCCCTACCCTTGGAAGATCTACGCATCTGCCCAGGACACCTCTTAAAGGCAATGAGGGCAGTCAAACCTGGATCCAAAGGCAGCTTAATACCCTCGTTGGGGATTAGAGCTTGCCCACCTCCTGGAGAATCTAAAAGCTTCCCCAGCAGACGCCAGGACACTTGGGGAGCCTTCATTGAGTTGCTGGGTACCTGTGTTCCCACAGGAAGTCACAGGTGCAGTGAAAGCTGTTTGTGTTGCCTTGAAGAATCTTCTGAATCACACTTTTAATGTCCCTTTATGTGTTTCTTTGTCCTTTTTTTTACATAAATTTATTTTTGGCTGCGTTGGCTCTTCGTTGCTGCGTGCCGGCTTTCTCTAGTTGTGGCGAGCGGGGCCTACTCTTCATTGCGGTACGCGGGCTTCTCATTGCGGTGGCTTCTCGTTGCGGAGCACGGGCTCTAGGCACACAGGCTTCAGTAGTTGTGGCTCGCAGGCTCTAGAGCGCAGGCTCAGTAGTTGTGGCACACAAGCTTAGTTGCTCCACGGCATGTGGGATCTTCCTGGACCAGGGCTCGAACCTGTGTCCTCTGCATTGGCAGGCGGATTCCTAACTACTGTGCCAACAGGGAGGTCCCTCTTTGTCCTTTTTTTTGCGGTACGGTGGCCTCTCCTGTTGTGGAGCACAGGCTCCAGACACACAGGCTCAGCGGCCATGGCTCACGGGCCCAGCCGCTCCACGGCATGTGGGATCTTCCCGGACCAGGGCACGAACCCGTGACCCCTTCATCGGCAGGCGGACTCTCAACCACTGCGCCACCAGGGAAGCCCCCTCTTTGTCCTTCTTAATGAAGGAGAAGCGACATTAGGACTTTGTGGTACAATTATAGGTTTCTAAACAAGTCATGTGGTAATAATTATCTCTTCCGCGTTAATGCTTCCAGGGCCTTCAGAAAGAACTCTCTCAATCAATGAGGAAGAACTGGAGGGAGGTTTCAGAAACTGGAACACTGCAAATAAAGGCCCTGAAGAACTTTTTAAACCAGAGGTACTGTGTTTCCAGTCATGATGTGGGGTTTCAGCAGGCCCCAGGAGCTTACCCTGGGCCTGGGGGAGGATCTAGTCAGGTACCAGTCAGGTATGTCTCAGGTGTAAATCTTGACAGGTAGAAAAAATTAAATCAATGGAGTTAGCCCCCGAGGCCTTGGGAATAGCACTGAGGCTGGGGAGCAGTCAGGGCCTGTGTTCCCATTGGGAGGGACAGCATAGTGGATACTGGACTTCCCAGGATAGGAATTTTCTTTTTTAACTGGTTTCCTTGTTTATTTTTGCCTTTCCTCTCTGGACTATAAGCCTAGACCAAAGGTGTTCTTTGTTTTATTTACAACTGTCTCTCCAGGATCTGCAGTGATGCCTGGTACCCAGTAGGATTCAACAGATATCTGTTTAATGAATGAATGAATGAATGCATGTTGCTCATTTGGAGGGATAGCTGAACTTCTGAAGTGATACATTCCTATTTCACAGACAATGTCCCGCCCCTATAACCAGCATACAGATTTCCTGTTTTCTTGTTTAAAATTTGATCCAGTTCTATGAACCTCTCTGGACTTAGTGTGGATACACATAGGCAAATTAACTCACAGATACAGATCTCAGATGAAGAAGGGGTTTCAGCCCTGGATCCAAAAGGTTCTTGAAACTCCAGAACAGTCGCAGTAAAAAGGATCTTAGCAGTCCAACTCAACCCTTTTAATTAAGGGAGGAGCAAAAGTGTCACCTGGTGGCCCAGTTATGTAGTCAGAGCAAGCATCCCAGATTGCTGGCAATGATAGCAGTAACTGATACCCAGTACCTCTGGGTGGTCCCTGTGATGAGCACTGCACGTGACTCGCCTCATTTACTCCTCATGACCCCTTTGGGATTCTTCTTTTATTGTGTTGCAGCTGAGGCTCAGAGAAGGTAAGTAATCTGCTCTAGGTCACCCAGCAAGTAGATGGCAGAACTTGGACTTGAACACAAAAGCCCAGGCTTTTAACAGCTTACGTGCTATGATGCCAGGGTTATGTCTGTGGTAGAACAAAAAGATACTGGGATCTAGAGAATAGAGGCAGCCCCTGCAGACAGGAAAGACATCAAATTGCATCCTTATCTACCACCAGACTAGCTCACGTTCATTCCACCCTTGATACTCTTGCCTTTCTGGCCTCCTTGCTAAGCTCATTCTCATTTCTCAAGATTCAGCTCAATTGTTCTCCCCTCTGAAGCCTTCCTAACCTTCCCACCAACAAGAAGGATCCTCTCCCTCCCCTCTATCCCCATGTTATATTATAGGTATTGGTATCAGAGGGACATGTTGCATTGCTCTTTCATCCTAGTTAACTTACCTGACTCCCTGATGTGGGCAGTGCTTGCCCCACACCCAGCACAGGGCCTGGCAGGCAGTAGATGTTGCTCGTGTTTGTTGATTGACTATATGAATTACAGAGTTGCTCATTGCCAGCAGAAATCGACTCCGGCTGACCTTTGCCAACAAGGAATGTTTTTAAGAGGGTGTGCGGTGGCTCACGGAATAAGGAAAAGCTGAAGAACCAAGCTCAGAAAAGGCAGAGGGGCAGCCAGGGATTCAGGTCTCAGGACTGACTTGTCAGGACTCTACTGCTAGAATGTGAACTTAGGCCCTGAAAGGAGAGGCAAGTTGGCCAAGGTTGTTCAGTATACCTTCCTCCTTGTCTACAGCCATACCACCGTGAACGCACCTGATCTTTTCCAATATGTCTTCCTTTTTGGCATCTTAAAAAAGCAAGGTATTGGAATTGATGTAGCCACCAGGGGTGGAGATATAACTCCCCAAGGGGAATTGTCCAAAAAAGGGGAAAGGATGGTGGGTAGTCTCCAAACAGTATCTGTCCAGTGACTCTTCCGTTTCCGGTGCAGGTATCTCCAAGAGGTAGCTCTCCCACGGCGGGGCCACCCCCGCTACCGCAGAAATCACTGGAAACCAGGTAGGAGGCCCAAGCACCTCCGTGGAGCCAGTGTGCTCTCAGGCCCCTCTCGGGGCTCCAGACGTGGCAGTGAGCCACAGCCACCATGTCCTGAGCACACCTGCCCTCACTTTTGGCCCCAGCAGTGGTCACAAGGGCCAAAATGCTGGAGCAGTCATGAACCTTGCCTACCTGCCCTGGCCACAGAGGGCCTTCCCTTCCCACTGGCTGGAGGTTTGGGTCGTTGTCACTGAGAAAAGACTTGGCCAGGGGTTGGGGCCTCAAAGAAGAGGTGGCTGCACCTCATCTGTGCCCCCTAGTGGTTCTTCAGAGCACCTTGTGAGGTGTGCCTTTCATTCCCGTCAACCCCTCTGGAACGTCCTTCCTGCTCTCAGGGAATCTAGCCCTGTGATAATCCACATTTTCCAGGGAGGACCATTTCTCCTCACAGGGAAACTGGTCCAGTTGCTTTGGGGAAGCTTCACATAGCAATGAGCTTATTACAGGCTGGCCTGTGGGGTCACTTCGCTGTCACCTGACTGATTCCCTCGAAAATGAACCTATTTCTAGTTCCCTACATAAGCTCTTCAGAACACATTTCCGAGTTATGGGGATCTGGAGCTTTACTGCCGAGAGCAGGCTGCCTTTCAGCCAAGGTATCTGGGGAAGACAGCCACAAGCGTGGTAGGAGCTTCCCCAGAAGGGCACTGAGTCTTCAGAGGTCTGAAGCCTGTGCACTCTGAACCCCATTTTCCAGAAAGCCATTGTTCCCTGAGCCTTTAGCCTCAGAGGAAAACGGCAGTGTCAAGGAGGGCCACTGGCCAGTCCTTAGTTTTGCAGAAGAAATTTGGTTGACGAGTTCACTCAGAAGTCGGCACTGAGTGACTCACACTGACCAGACTCACAAGAGACGAATGTACTAACAGATGCTGATTTATTCATCTGAACTGAGAAATATCACTGCCCAGGAGAATTGACACAAGGTAATCCTGTCGCCTCTCCTCTATCCAGTTGGTGCCCTTCTCTGCAAAATAGCCCGGAGAAAGCAAATTCCTCTGAGCAGACTGCTCAGGGCATACAGAGACAGAGCAGAGGGTTGAAGGATCCTAGCAGGTGATGCTTTGGAGCTGTGGCTGATGTGCTCGTCTCAACTCCAAGGTGGCACCATCTCCCTTGCTGGATTATTGTCAGACTCACAGACAAGGCAGTATTGGCTTTTGACTCCACAGACGTTGGCCTTCTTTTATGACCAAACAACAGCCAGCTCCCACTGATGCCACTGAATTGAGTGTATTCGGGTTTTTTGAGGAATGCCAAGGACTTTCGATTTGGATTTCCGTGATGCTCTCATGCCCTCACCAAGACATTGTCAGACCAGGCCATCCCCAAAGTGGGCCATTCTCATCTTACGTGTAATGGTTATGATGAGAGGGTGTTTTGTTTTGTTCCTGCCCTTGACCCTAAGCCCAAGATAGATACCAGTTAAACATCTGAAGTGTCCTCTGCACGAATGATACCACGTACCTCCTTCTCCAGTTACTGTTTCCTTATTGACTTTCTTTTGTGTTTTTCCAGGGCTCAGAAAAAACTCTCCTGTAGTCTCGAAGACCTGAGAAGTGAATCCGTGGATAAGGTCAGCCCATCAGTCTATCCATAAAGATGTCTGAGTTACTTCTTTGTGCCCAGCACAGTGCTGCGATACACAGGCTGGGTGCTGTCCCTACCTCATGGAAGCTTTTATCAAGTTTGCTGGGCAGGCAGGAATTACAGGAACATTCTGAGAAAATGTTCAGGTGCGGTGCAGCCCAAGGCATCCTAGAGGCAGGGCAAGTCAGGACACGCTACCTGGAGTTGGTGAGAGAAGACACTGAGATGGGCATGGGCAGGGGAAATGGTGCGGAGTAGGAGGGAGTAAGGTCAGAGCCACGAGTCAGGTGGAGCCAGAGGACATCTCGAATCCAGGCCCTGTTTCTCCAGGGCACTTGGGAGTGTTGCACAGATTTTGAATGAGGACATAATGTGGATAAAGGAGACCCCGGGGGTGGGTTATGGGATAAAGTAGATAAGAGAGGAAGCTTTTTAAAGAGTCTAGAAAGGCATGAGGAGGGCTTTGTGGCCCCTGACCAGGTGGGTAACCCCCATGCTGAAGGGGAGGGTCGCAGGCCCTTGAGCAGCAGAGGTCATTGAAGATGCAGGGGTCCTGCCCTATAGACAACCTTCAGTGACCTTGCCACATAGATCCCTCGATGTCCAGCAGTATGCCAGACTCCCTGGTGATACAATAGAAAACCAGGAAGGATGGAGCTGGCAGTGGCTTTGCTCCCACGATCACGTGCCTCTCGCTCCCCCAATCAGATTGCTGGCAGCTGCCCGGGGACATGTGTCCACGGGGTCGGACAGTGACCTGTTTCCTCCACAGATGGTGATGATCTGACATAAAGACGGGGAGGGAGGGGTGAGCCTGGCAGGTTCAGGCAGGCAGGTGGCCCTGAGTTGCTGCTGTGACTAACGCAGTTCTCCTTTTCTCCACATAACTGAAATCCTCCTTGCCATCCCATAGTGCGTCGGTGGGAGCCAGCTGTCCCCAGTGGTAGAACCCAAGGTACATTCACCGCATGTCCCTTTCGTCTATATGAGCTTGTGCTGTTGGCCAGTCTTTTCACTTAGCAAGTTACAGCTCTGGTAACCTTACGATATGTTTTAACCGTAAGGGGTATCAGGGTGACAGGAACGGCGCAACTTCCTCTCCTGTTTTCTTTTTATGTGCACCCAGCTGGATCCTGTGCTTTCATCTCTGTTATCTGTGGGGTAGGATTTCTTATCATCTCCTCCATCTTATAGGCTCTGATAATTCCTCTTTGACAAGGCAGAGTAGATCTGATCTCTGGGAAGGGGGATATTATGATCTCAGCACACGAGTAGAGGAATATGACAGCTCTCATCCTTTCTGCGCGGATAAGTCATGATTGAAAAAACCCAGGAGCACTTCCCTGGTGGCGCAGTGGTTAAGAATCCGCCTGCCAATGGAGGGGACACGGGTCCGAGCCCTGGTCCGGGAAGATCCCACATGCCGCGGAGCGGCTAAGTCCGTGCGCCTCAACTACCGAGCCTGTGCTCCAGAGCCCGCGAGCAACAACTACTGAACCCACAAGCCACGACTGCTGAGGCTCACGCGCCTAGAGCCCATGCTCCGCAACAAGAGAAGCCACTGCAATGAGAAGCCCACGCACTGCAACGAAGAGTAGCCCCCGCTCGCCGCAACTAGAGAAAGCCCGCGCGCAGCAACGAAGACCGAACGCAGCCAAAGATAAATAAATAAATAATTAAAACAAACAAAAAACCCAGGAGCACACTCGGCCTCAGGTGCAAGGATCCTTCTGTAGCGTCCCCTCACATGGGTGTCTGGCTCTTGCTTTCTGTGACTGAGAGCTCATGACATTGTAAGACACCCCCTGTGTTCTCTTCCAGCTCTGTCTGTTAGATCCATCTCTGGGCTTCCCTAGAAGGAGCATCCGCGGATCGGCTCTCGCTGTGCAGTCCGTGGAGTGAGTCAGTCTCCCCTGCTCCTCACAGCTCTAGAATTGGAGTCCCTCAGCCCCTCTCCGAATTACCATCTTCTCATGTGCACAGGGCACAAGCCCTTAAAGTTCCTGTTCTGTCACCTTAGGATGAGCACTTGGTCCTCGCTGCGTGCTCTGTGTCGTGCCCTGGGCCACACTTGAGGCTGATACTGTAGATGGGGTCTGCCCCGTGCACGCCTCGCTCCAGGGACTGATGTCGTGGTTACTGCTGTCGCTCCAGACCCTGGGCAAGGGATAATTCTCTGCGCCTCTGTTCGGTTCTGTCCTCGTGTGCTAGGCCAGAGGCAGGAATTGTTATTCTTTATTTAGAAACAATAAAACTGAGGTTCTGAGGGCCTAAAGAGAGTGAGGGTTTGGCCCGAGTCGGTCTGACTCACAGCCTGGGGTCTTCCCGCTCAGGTGTACTATCTCTGTGCTGTTTTAGGGCAGCTGGGTCATCAGCCACATCTGCTGCTCCTTGCCTGAGATTTCCATCCCCCACCCCTGTAACCAGGGTTATTCTGCTCAGAGACTGCCGTTGCAGAACCGACCTCAAGCATTTCTGTTTCCTCTGTGTCGTTAGGTGATGTTGCACCCTTTTCTCCGGCAGTGAGTCCTTCCTTCCTAGCTTCTCTTCTTGGCTGAGCAGAGCTGAGAGAGAGCCCTTTCCGTTGCCCTTGGTTCCTTTCGCCGTCTTTCTCACAGGTCTGGGCTGCCTTTGAAGCCCGCCTTACAGGAGGCTTTTCCCTCTTTATATCTCAGCTCCTCAGCGACCTCCCAAGGCAGCCCACATGGGAGGCCTTGGTTGTCTCTGCCCTGTCTTAGGGAGGCCTGTGTGATGATGCAATAGGAGATCTGTTCCTGAGCCCTCCCCACTCCCACATCTCCTGTATAATATGGAGCTGGGAGGCATGCCCTTCAGTTCTCGAAACTTTTTGAATTCTGCCTTCCCCACCATCAGTGGTTCCCGGGCCTGACTGCGCAGCAGAGTAATCTGAGATTCATTTTTAAAACACAGACTCCCGGGGTGCCCTGCCAGAGGGGCTGATTCATGGGTGCGGTTGGGACCTGGGAATTTATATTTACAAGTGTCCCAGGTGATTATGAAGCAGCCCTTGCATGGGCTAGTATTTGGAAACTGTTGGTCTTGACCACAGGTCTGATCAGGTTCAGCCTGTACCTCATGGGTCATCATGAATTTAAAAATTGTGTGGTCTCCATCTCTTAAGGTTCCAATTATTTCCACTTCACCAGCCAGTTCCTTCAGAATCCCTTGAGAATTTAGCCCACTATTCTTGTATCTCTCCTTTCTGAGATGATTTATAGAGGATTAGTATTCAGTGTTCAATGACTGAATTGGATTTCAAACAATTTCTAGGACATGCCTTTATAAGCAAACTGAATTCAGAAATTTATTGGGCACTTGGTTTTTAACTAAATGAAACTTCAAAAGATGTTGCCACTGGGGACTTCCCTGGTGGTGCAGTGGTTAAGAATCTGCCTGCTAATGCAGGGGACACGGGTTAGGGCCCTGGTCCGGGAAGATCCCACATGGCACGGAGCAACTAAGCCCATGTGCCACAACTACTGCAGCCCGCGTGCCTAGAGCCCGTGCTCCGCAACAGAGAGAGGCCACCGCAATGAGAAGCCCATGCACCGCAACAAAGAGTAGCCCTCTCTCACGGCAACTAGAGAAAGCCTGCACACAGCAATGAAGACGCAACACAGCCAAATAAATAAATAAATTTATAACAAAACAAAACAAACATGTTACCGTCACTGAAGTCTCCCATTACTTTTCTGACTCGTCAGTTTTGAAATCGGTTTTGTCTTTCTTCTTTTCTACTTTTCTTCTGGGTCCAGTTAAGTGATCCACAGTTGATTACCTTGGTAACGTTGCTTTGACTTCTCTTTTCTTTTCACTCAAATGCATCCCGCTGTGTTTCCCTCAGCTCTGTGGACGTGGGGCCCATCAAATCCTTCTTGACCAGACAAGTGCCATTCTTCTTCCCCTTTAAATCAGCTTGTTTCTTTGGGACCTTTTCTATGGCTGGGGTCTGAGCACGGGGCCCGCTGCACTGGGGCTGAACCTCATGCAGGCTGTGGTCCTAAGTTCCTGGGGAGCTCCGTGCTGGCATGTAGCCCTCTGACCCGCTTCTGCTCACACCTCTCCCCGAGTGTGTGCTTACCGTCTTACTTCACCTTAACCTGATATTTTTCAAAATAACTATCATCGTAATGTATAAGTAATAGATAATATTATATATTCTAAACATACAATAAAGCAATAGGTATAGCTTTTTTTTTTCCCCGCGGTACATGGGCCTCTCACTGTTGTGGCCTCTCCCGTTGCGGAGCACAGGCTCCGGACGCGCAGGCTCAGCAGCCATGGCTCACGGGCCCAGCCACTCTGCGACATGTGGGATCTTCCCGGACCGGGGCACGAACCCATTTCCCCTGCATCGGCAGGCGGACTCTCAACCACTGCGCCACCAGGGAAGCCCATAGGTATAGCTTTTATTGGAATTCTGGTCTGTGTATTCAAAGAGCTTGAAGAGTAGTTCACAGCTGTTGATTCCTTGAGCCTCTGAGCGCGAGGCCAAATGGCAAAGCCTTCCCTTTCTGCTTGGACTCGGTGGCAGTCAGCCCTGGATGTGGGCTCGACTCTGTCCCCATCTCACTGTGTGGCTTTGGGCAAGTTTCTTTCTTTCTCAGAGCTCTGATCCCATTTCCTGGCCTGGAATAAATAATCTTTTTGTGGGATCTTTGAGTCGGCCTAAGTTTAAAAATGGCTCTTAGAGAACGGGGAGTTGTTTCTGCATCCAGAGATTTCCTAACTGGCTTTGAGGCTCTCTCCCTCTCTCCTTCCAATAGGACGGCCCTTTCCTGGTGGAGCACAAGTACCCCACGTTACCTGGGAAGCTTTCAGGAGCCACGCCCAACGGAGAGGCTGCCAGAGCTTCTCCCACTGCCTCCCCACATGACCCTGCAGGGAGCGGCCTGCTGAGGCTGAGTGAGTGTCCAGGCCCCCGGCCCGGCAGCCTCCGGAGCCTCGGCCTTGGCATTTCCACTGTTGCACGAGGTCCCTGCACCCCCCACCATAGCCCACAATTGGAGAACGGGGGTGGACACGGGTGGATGGGACAAGTCCTACCTCAGGGTGGTCCCACGTCCAGAGGTGATTGCTGTCTGTCTGGGCACAAGGTTTCCTGCCAGAAACATGTCAGAGCTCAAGAGAACCAGGGTGTGTACCCACCTTCTTTCCACCTGCAATTACTCTACCCCCATTGCCCCTCCTCCTGTCTTCCTCCTCCCTCCACCTGCTCCCGGCCTTCCCGGGGCATTCCTCTTT